ATCCGAAACCATACCAATGATGAAACAGAGTTGAAAGGCTGGAGGTTAACTAAAGAATAAATACTAAAATGGCAGTACATCTTCTGGCGTACATACATCGGACATCACAGTTTCTGCGTCTTTGCGGAGTGCCTTTGACAGGGTGTGCGCTTTCATTTCTGTTCAATATTAGATATGACCACGAGAAATATTTTGAATAATTTATGCTGGCTTTTAGCTTGATGTGTATTTTATTTGCATCATTTAAAAAATCCATTTTCCTTTGTATATATTACCAACGCTCACACCAATTAGCCTAGCACCCAAAGTAAGCACTGTAAGGCTTATGTTATAGGATACTAGGGTAGCGGATAGAATACATATACCGATACATTTATAAGTATATTTATATAGTAATAAATGTTAAACATCCATGACTGGAGTACGAATGCTCGTATTCATCACAGAAACATCTGCCCCCACCGGCATTCGGCCCAGGGACCTCTCGAGTCGGTGACACCATGAAACCCGGCGTATAAACCGCTCGGCCACGGAGGTTGTCAAAATTTAGTTTTATATGTTAAGGGTGGCAAACAAGCGTATGGCTCTCCTGATGATAAGCGGTCACCATAGCCAATAGACGCTTCCGATACCAAAAATATCACTTGCAACGTTGCCTACCCTGACCCAATCTCGCACCCCGTGGAGTCCTGGAACCTTAGAGTCCAAACCTGAGGAGTAGGTTGTGGCAAGTAGGTATTGTGATAAAAACTTTGATTAAATTTTCGTCTTTAAGGTTGTATCTTGAACTGCTAAACCTAAACCGCTAAACTGAAATTGCTGAATTATGGTATGGTGATTAAGATATCTCTCAAGAGGACATAATGTTCTACTTTTGGTGTAGTAAATTAAACTAGAAGAGAGTGAACTACGGATTAAATTTTGTATAGAAAACTAATTAAATATCTAACTAAAACTAACACAATGTCGTGATGGGCATTTTATTAGGAAACAAATATTTGATCTCAAGGCACTATTGATAGGCGCAAATGGGGGGCAGTGACACATCACACTTCACACTTATTTAATAAAGGTGAAAGTTTGTGACTGTGTGAGTGTGTATGTTTGTTACTTCTTCACGTCTAAACGGCTGGAGCGACTTTAATAAAATTTGGTATGGAGTTACCTGACACCCTGGATTAACACATAGGCTACGTTTTACTGCGGGAAAATACCCCTAATAAACCGCGGGGCACAGCTAGTAAGGAATATATCTGGCATTTTTTATTTGTGTATGGTCTGTTTTCACGCGTTTTATTCGTTTTATATTCTGCCATCATAAATAACTTATCATCAGATGTCAAATGTTCGGGTTCAATACAGAGATATTCCTTTGGTTAAACTGTGCCCCTTATTAGATTGCACTTGACATTATAAAGAGCAAATCTGTCATACAGACTTTCATTCCCAGCAAAAATGAAATGTTTCAAGATTATTGAACTAAATTATACTGGTTATATATATAGGTATATTAATTTACTTATCGCAGAGTTATAGTATCATATATGTTATATTATGCCCTTGCGGATGCAATTATAAACTATGGCTTGGGTTCTTATGGACTTACGTTCCCAGTGTATTTAAATAAAATTAAAGATTTGCAGTTCAGGTTATTAAAGACACTTATAAATAAAAAGGAAAAGGATTTATTAAAGAGTGAATATATTAATATATTCACTCTTTAATAAATCCTTTTCCTTTCCAGACCTGAAAAGGCTGCGAAACGTCAATAAATAAATAAAGTTTCGTGCATTAACCCGTAAAAACTAGTTTTATTTAATGAGTGATGTGCGTGAAAACCTAAGAAACAACATAAGTACACTAATTATTACGGTAACCGTATGAGAAAATGGCTTACTCCAACCTTTTTAAATCAACTACCAAAAAACAACCTACCTTGCATTGTGTCCGTAGCTTGTACAAGTGTGTATTTATGTGTGTATGCACGCATGTGTGTGTGATTAGAAGTATAAAAGCAAAAAAAAAAAATTAAAAAAAAAGTAGTGATAAGTCTCATTCCAGCGGCACTATTCTGTAAAGATCCACGCGTGGAGGTTTTACAGAATAGCACTGCTGATCATAGATCATAAACTGTATGAGTGCCGGTTTTTTCTAAATCCGTTCAGCCATTTTTGCGTGATTGAATAACAAATAGTAAAAAAATAGTTTATGGGAATATCACAGGAGTCTTATATAATTAATATATAAATATTATGTATTTTTATAATAGTAACTATTGTTTTTGTTTTGTAAGTAATTTGTAACTAATCGTTATCCACGGGAACTCTGCCGACAAACTATTATAATAGTTTGTCAGATATTTTCATGTATAAACAATGTGTGTACTTAGACAATCAATAAAAAAAATAGCTTTAGAACGCCTTTCTGTGAAAAACCGGTAAAATACAAAGTACCTGTGCAAAATTTTAAAATTCGACAGTGCTGACATCTTACGTTTAACGTTACGGATTACGTTGTATTTGTTATAGTGCTGCCCCTCCTCAGTTATCTTAAAATAAAAAAACTTTAAAACTTTAAGTTATAACTATACTGAATTAATTTGGAAGACGATGTAGATTTACTGTTCATGACCCCATTTCTGCTAATAAATATATTAATTTTACACAACCTCTCCACACACACACACACTTAAATTCACTGTACTCATCATGAGAGGTTTCACTCGCTACACTTTGCACTTATTATTTTGTGACTTCTTTGGAAAATGTGGAAATATGCGCTGAGAACATCTAAAACAGCTTATATTTTTTGTAAATAGCGCTGCACCGGAGATACAGGTCTCCTATTATAGATATTAACGGGATTGTTATTATGTGCCTTGTTTTTTATGAGTCTCCGATATTTCGGCACCCACCCGCATCTACCGGCAATTACTTCAGTTACTCCGTAATCATGGCGCTTGCAACAGTGCCGAAATATCGGAGACTCATAAAAAACATGGTACATGGTAACAATCCCGTTAATATCTATAATGTTAGTGACCATGAAAGTTTAAAATAATATACAGGTCTCCTAGTTCAGGTGCAGATGTATTTTTATGCAGTTGGATGAATATTCTATTATTGTAAGATTTTATAAAATATACTGTACAATTTTTATGGTGCCACTTCATTTTTATTATCTGATTCCCACCCTAAGATGCGGGATACATAGAAAAGATGTAAGACGCAGACAGGGCGCTTATTGTTCGCTTTATACAAAACTAGCTGTGCCCCGTGGTGTTACCCGAGGTTAATTAGGGAAATTTCCAAACAGTATAACGAAGCCTATGTGTTAATCCAGGGTGTCAGCTAACTTCACACCAAATTTTATTAAAATCGCTCTAGCTGTTTAGACGTGAAGAAGTAACAACAACTCACACTCTCACATACCTTAACCTTTATAATATTAGAGTGATGAAATAGCGTCCATATGTTTTGAGACGCGACGCTCCTATAAGTTTTGTATGAAAAGTAAGCGCAAGAGACATAATTGTCCGCGCCCCGTCTGCATATATTCTGTCTGTCTCGTAAGTAAAAAAACCTTAACAACTTTTTTGGTTCTAAACTTGACGAATTTGATTTTAGATATTGTGCAATACAATTTTCTAGTAGTATTCATATATGTAGGTTATTGGAGTTTAAAAATCTTGCTTCTGTGTGCTACTGAAAATCACCTTTGCGATGTGTGAAACCGCTTACTTTCCTCGTTAAAGAAACCTTAAAGTTCGAGATTAACGCGCCCTCAGTTACTTGCTAAATTTGCTATTAGAAAATGTATGGCTTTTAATAATTATCCACCAGAACGATGAAGAAACGATATCTGGTCATGTGGAACATAATATTTACTTGGTAATTAATTATTAATGAGAATTTAAATCCTGAACTTCAATTAGAACAAGTATTTTCAAAATCATTTCAGAATTTGTCGGAATTTTTACTAGAAAATAAACTACGCGGACCAGGCAGCAGACGGGACTCGAACCCGCACCCTCCGCTATCCGGGCGGATGCTCTGACCAATTATGCTTCTACGGCCCTAATGACTGTGTATAATTTCTTTTAGCATTTCCTATATCGTCCATGCATGCCATCTCTTCGCATTCTAGGTAACCCACAATTTCAAGTATTTTTTTATTCTAATTATTCCAAATCCGATATCACAGATTTTAAAAAGATTGAGATCCAAGAAATAAATATGTAGACCGTCGCCGTTTGTACTGTTCGGAGGAGCTAATCTGTCATATTCTATCATTTCCTTTCTTTTCCTACATTGAAGTTACCATTGCAACGCGAATAGCTATATAGTGACTTATTTATTTGTCGCACTATCCACAAATTAATTACTTTGCTCCTCTCGGCGTCCTTTAAAAGAGGCGTGTAAGAGCTACTCCCAGACTGGAGAGGTCCTTTCTTTACATAGGTTTTCACCCACAAATAACATCAGGTCGGGTAGCCTTTACTATGTGCATTGTTAAATTAACAACTGTCGCGTTCTAGGTTTTTCTTTCGGTCCCATCATATCACGAGAGAAAACAAGGCCAAAAATGTTTATATATTGTGCATAAAAAAATAATTATCATCGTAGAATAAATAAAACGGTCACTCATTTCAGTGTTGCACTCTTTTTATTCTCTCATAGATTTAAAAGCAACGTTTGTGGATCAAAAACATTTTACAAATAGAACTTTAAATAGGCATACTTTAACTTTAACACTAAATTGTACAATCTTGTATAACAGACAAAATCATTGTAAACAACTGTCTAAATCTTTTGAATAAGACAAAAAAGCGATTTAATCACTATCAAATAAAACAATCTTCATAATAAATTAAAAACATCCAAAACATTATGTTTACACTATATAAAAAAAGTGTCAAATTGGTATACTTTACTAAAAAGCAGTCATTTTCAAATATAGTTACAGCAATATTAGTAGAAGTAACAACGCAACCCGTAGCTGTCTTTATTCTACGTAATTGATATGTCAATAGAATTCATTGTATAATAATACCAATAACCTTTCACACGCAAATGAACCATATATTAAAGTCGTAGTAATTTATTTACAAATAATTTTTCATTATTTCTAAAGAGCCGTAAACTCAGTTGAAAATGTTGACAACGGCATGGTATTATCAGTGTCTCTGTCAACACTTTTCTTATCAGGATTGGCACCAGGGAGCGACCAAGTGGAACTGCCGGCTGCTGTTATCCTCGGACCCATGTTGTCATAAACAGATTTTAGAAAACATGTCCTACTTCGTCTTGGTAACGTGGAACCACCGCTCAGCAAGTCTGGATACTCGTCATTGTGACCCGATACTTGAACAGATATAAAAATATTACCGTACGGAGCGGGTAATGCGAACTCTGCGGGAGGCGGAGGGAATGAACCCGGGGGACCCTCTATAGTTATCTGAACCGGTTCCATACAACGCGTATCCTCACTTTCCATAGACATTGATCTATCAAACATTTCGAATCCATATGAGGAACCTAAGTCAGCGCTGGTCCGATCGCAGCTAGCAGCTAAAGACGTATCTAACAATTTCTTTTCCTGATCGGTAAAGCTTCTGCTAGGTGGAACTCTTCGGCGCCTTGTCTTCCAACATACGCACGCCGCTATGAATCCGGCTCCAGTCATCGCTAACATAGAACCTCCCAATATAAAAAATGTCGAATAGTTCGGCGGTAGTCTAGCGGTAGCAGTCCGCGCTTTGGGCAGAAATATCGTTAAATATGCAGACGCTTCTCCTACGGTACTCTTAGCAATACATTTCCACTCCCCTGCCAAATCATTTGTCACATTAGAAATAGTCACGTTCAACCACTGAGCACTTTTATTTATATAATCATCCCTATAGTCATCGAAATGGTCCGTTTGATATTTGTAAATCACTATTTCACTGAATTTGTTCGTTATGTTGTTTATGTCTACATTATGAAAAGTCCATGTGATTGTTGGTTTCGGATCACCCCGTGCAAAGCATCCAAATGAAATATCAGCTCCAGTTTCAGTTCTGATAACGGTAGGGATTGATGATGCCAGAGGTGGACAAACCATTTCGTTGCCTTTCATATTTCGCCATGATGCTTGTGCCTTCCTCTCTGGTCCTCCACAGAAGATTTCTTCATTTCCCAAATTGCTATTTAAGAACCATTCGTGAAAATCTCTTAGTCTACAATCACAGTACCAAGGGTTGTCAGACAACGTTAATGTTTTTAATACAGGTAAGTTAAAAGTGTTTTGATGCAAATAAGAGAGTAAGTTATGGTGTACATTAATTGTTTCTAATGCTCGTAAGTTTACAAATGTAAATGGATGTATAGTATGCAATTGGCATCTCGAAAGCTCTAGCTTCTTCAAATGTTGCAAAGGTGGGAATTGTTCAGCGACTAAGGTTGTTAACGGGTTGTCATTAAGAATCAGTAGTTTTAAACGATCGTTGCCTCGAAACGTGTCAGGTGATATTTGATGTAGTTCATTTTGTGAGAGGTCCAACTCTATCAGTATCCGCAGCTCCCGGAAGGCATTAGGGTGCAAAGAGCGAATGCTCGTGGAACTGAGATTGATACGTTGAAGGTTTAACAAATCGATACTGGCGAAAGCATCCTGTCCTAATGTTTTTAACTGATTTCCGTGCAAGTCCAGCACTTGTATATCTGTAGCCAAATGGGGTACTTTTATGAGACCAGCCGAGATGCATGATGCGGTTTTCTTTCCTGAAGACCATTTGCAATGACATTCTTCTATGTTCCCGCAGTTGAGCCAATCACTTTCTGTAAAACTTATAAGTAATAGAATCACCCAGCACCCTCTTCGTAACGCTCGAATGCCCATTTCATAGCAGCTATCCTTTGTTCCTCTTCCTGGAACAAGACAAATCAATAATTAGTATAACTATAAATATATTTCACGTTGTCATCGATCGTATAATTTTTCCCTTGCCCTACGTGAGCAACAGAGAGCGATAACTTGCGATGCGACATTTAATAATATATCAAGACACAACGATATCTAACACTGTATAGTGCTAAGTTATGGATGTAATTAAGTCGTCATTATGTCATCTATAACGTAGTAAGAAAATTGTAGACATTGACAATCATTATGGTTCTTGATATTATCGCAATGTGTCGCTCGCGTAGTGTTAGATCACATCGCCGTATTTGTAGTTAAAAAAGGAAAACTACTTAATGAATCAAAACTACCTTTGCGGTCAACTAACAGTATACTTCAGTGTCGTCAAAACGAATATGAGGTCATTGAAACCTATAGTATCTCGTTGACCTATCTGGGTACGTTACTGGCTAAGATACGCCATTAGATAAGACGGATGTTTAATTACACGAACACAAAGGAAACTGAATTCTGTCGTTCGGATATGACGAACATTCGTTCAAAGGACCTCTTCGGGCATTTGTACTAGTGTGCGGTTGGTATATATTAACGTGCGAGTAGTACTACCAGTGATGTTGGTCCTTTATGGCAGAGCAAGGCTAAATAATTCACGCAGTATCGTTAATGGGGGAGGGCTTCTAACTTTGGTGATATTAATTTGGACGATAAGTGAAACTGTAGCGAGATGCACGGGTTACTTGATTAATAGCGTGTCATTGTAGGTATTAGATTACATGTTCCGTTACCTTTTATTCTGTATAATTTCTGAGTTAACAGATTATACTTGAAGTTTTTTACTGTGAAGTACGCAGAGTTGAAGGTTATATGAAAAGAAATCTAAAATACGTTTGTTATCATTGACTATCATTATCTCTATAGCTAAGGAAACAAAATTACTCAAACCCATGTGCAACACGCAGCTTTTATCACATATAGTTAAAGTCTTTAGTAAATTGTAGAAATGGTAAACAGTTTTATAATAAAAAAAATATATATATTTACAGCTTTATTTCAGCGTCTCGATAGTTATTCTAATATAAAAGTTATTCTAATAGAAAACGCTAAAATTATACAGTGTTCTAGAAGATTAAACATTTGATTCCTCAGTTTCATTCATTCTTAATTCCGTTGGCGCAACAAAAATTCCAGTTATTAGAAATTACTACCGCAATTCTCGAGCGTCACATTTCGCAAATGTGAATTTATCAGTCCAAGCTTAATTTAGCTCGGGTGATCACCACCACATTTTGCGGACACCGCTCCGAAAGACTAATTGGGTACTTTGGCCCGAACTGAGCTCGTATTCCTCGAGATATGATTGGTGTGCGCCATTGCGCATTGAATATAATTGAAAAATAGGCAACACCAGATGAAGTTACAGCGCTACCTACCTTTTTGATTAAAACATATTTCAGGGATCAAATGATCTAAAATGTTATTAAGGTTAGCATGATGTTTTGTTTTCATTATTTCTCTTATTTCTGTATTTTTGTTTACAGATCTAAGTAGATAACTTTTTTGTTGAATCGAATTTCACGTCGCACTATTGTGATTTACGAGATGATAATAATAATTAGATAAGTGAAAACATTCGTACCTTCGATTCATATTTATCTTTTACGGGGTTGGAAGAGCATGAAAGGTGTAGAAGCAAAAAAAGAGAAGAAGCAAAAAGGTGAAGAGCATGAAACTTGAACTCAACGTCTCTAGAATATGGCATTAATGGGTCTAAGATGTTGGTCGAAAGAAACAACAGTGGCAGTTTTCTGGCAAGCCTAACACCCACGGCAGTTTCCAAATTATGCTCTGCTTGTGAATATACTTTGATTATCTGCTCTTTTTTGTCTGATCCTTGCTTTATACTTTCACATTTAATTTCCACATTGCATTAAATTCATTTTCGTCATTCTACGATAAAATTACTACCACCTCTCCAAAAGTATGCTAGCAAAGCAATTTTCTACGTGCACATAAATTAAGTAGTGATAAAATTAAAACCCGCCGGCAGCGTTCTAAGCTGAGCCGAGCTTTCATTACCGCGTTAGCTAAGCCCAAGTAAAATTTCGACGGCGATATAAGCTAATTTAGTTTTGTTAATAATATTATGGCGCGTTAATAATATTATGGCATTGTATTAGCTAGTTATTCTAAGTTGGACAGGCGTTAAAGGAAAAATATGTTTAGTAATATAATTCACACAACTTCTTTTTCCGCCACAGGTTCGAGTGGTCTAAAAGCTTCAGACGGAGAGGAGACTCCACCCGTGGGGAGATGCCATCCGCCTGGAGTACCTCTAGAGGCACTCGCCAATTCTCGGCTTGAGGTCCCCTTAGGATCTCGCAGATCCCAATCCCGGTGCCGCTGTAAAGGTCATCTGCGACCAACAGCAACATGACCTTAACAACTCAAAAAAACTACTTAGTTCATAAATTAATGTCAAGCAATCTAAAATTGAGTTAACAGTGTATTGTGTTAATGGGTCTTTTTTTAATTCAACAACTGTACGTAAGAGAGCGTCACGCAAAAAGTAACGCGCTTTTATATTTAAAGTGCTCCATTGTAAAATTTATAAAATTATATTAATTATGACTTTAAAGAATAGACTCTAGATGTGATAACGGGTTAAGTCTCATAGACACCGACTTATTCGCTAATTTCAATAAACATTCATTATTTGATTTGATTGAATGATACTTACTATAAAACTGCCAAAAGTATTATTTATAAAATGGTGGCGAGCAAGATTATGGACCGACTAAACACACTTGTGATACCAGAGTATCCCGCGCCACTTAATACATATCATTTTAAAACTTACTGTAGTTGTTATTCGCTGCTGCCATTTGGTATAACTAATACAGCAGTAAAATTGAGTTTCCCGTAATTCCCGTAGCCAGGTCGCAAGCTGCCTTTTACCAAAACGCATCATAGCTGTGACGTCATAATAACACTCTTGCTAATTGGATGACTGCGTTGTTGACTCGACGATAATGTTGTTACGTGGCATCTGCCAGGCCTATTCCCGGATATTTGTATCTCTTTAGATACATACTTATCTATACCTACATATATGATCTTTTATTTTACACTTAGGTCTGTTTTTTTTGATTATGAATGGCCTTGATTCATTCTTTGCATTTAATTGTGTTTCTTTTATTTGTTTAAAGATCCTGCACCTCGAACGAAAAAATAATCTCTTCTTTTAGGAACACGTAGACGTGAGAGAGATCGTCCTAATTGGCAACGATCGTACGATGCCACGATGCGTTCTTGTCGTGCAATTATTTTCAAACATACAAAATTCTTCAGAGGTGTCCTCATACAGCTCGTAAGCGGCCGCACGAGCACAGCTACATTATTTTCATCGCACGATGAGATCGCATCGCGCCATCTCACGACAGTTATTCGGCTCGGCAATTAGGATGACGCCTGAAGCTGAAATAACTATTAAAAACTCTAAGTATACGGCCCATTGGAGTAGTGAAATAATCAAAATTTAAAGTAAACACAATCAAAAAACGGGAATCTTCTATTTATACTTAAAAAAGGCAAACATTTGCAAAAAATGCATTAAAAAAATTTAAACGTTCATCCTTTTTCAATAATTGGCTTTTTTTCTGAGATATAAAATGAATCAAATCAATCGATTATCGATTTCATTACCTTGTAAAATATAGGGATGGAGAAATGATGTCAGAGACTTAAGTGTTGGTCGCTAAAATTATGAAAAATGAGCATTAAATATCTTAAATGTTGATACTTTTTATATAATGCGAACCATCAAAATAACTTTTTGATATTTTAATTCATATTACTTTTCTGCTTTCGTAATCTCCGCGGAAAATTGCTATAGTACCAGCGCTCGCCAAAAGGTAGATGAGGATGTATTGGTGCACATCATGAGAGCTGACAGATGTACGCTCATCTAATTCTGGTTTGGTGTTATTCTTTTCTTGATCGATTTGGTTACGGATCGTATCTAACTACCTTTGGTTAATTCTCTCATTTTCATTGTTTTCGTTTATCACTAAAGGCATGACTACATTTACAATATTATTAATAGATAGTAATTCAATGGTTAAAATATCAGGTTTCGCTTTGATATTGTTGTTTGTGTGATAATAAAATAAGTCCGTTGTCCTTGATGACGCATCCACTCTCTAGTGCAAGTATTCCGACCTTGTTATTTAATCGGTCTACGGTAACTTGATAGTCACATATGATTTGTATGGAGCACTGACCACAACAGGAATATAAGTAATTATTTATTTTTGTAAGTTGTACCCAATGGTTTTTGCACTTTATACTTTCTGTTTTACATAATTGTTATTCATTTTCCTTGGCACAATAATTCTGGTTAATTTTATTTATTGAATTATTTGGTGTATTCATAGCAACGTATTTGAATCGTAATAACTACATTGCTGTAGTTGTAGTTCGGAAAATCGTACTTGTAAGTTTTTTTGAATATTTATGGCCAAAAGATCCGCAATTGGGACAACTCTTATCATCTTATCGCGGTTTTTTATGGGAATTGGTATCAATCTATAAAGAACATTGTTCTGCGTCCATACATTGTTAGCGTAAGAACCAACAATCATGAAATATTATTTTCTAGGTTCGAACTTGCAAGTTAATGACTGTAAAAACAAATATTATTGACGGACACTTCTGAGAACATAAATTATCAGGAAAACTAAATATTTTTTGAGGTTATGTTTAATATTAAATGAAATATAGGTCAACCTATGAACGTAGTATGAACTCAGTATGAAGCGAATTAATATTACAACTAATTCATTTTTATTCGGTGCGATTTTAAAGAATACATATTACGGAAAAACTTGTTAAGTAGGAATCATGAATAAAATAAAAACTGTAGTTTTGCTTCTTATTTATTGACTATTTTTCACATAATTGTATCATATTGTATATTGTATTTATTTGTATATCACATGCATATTGTGTA